ACGCACACGTGAGCCCTTTCGTGCTTCCACACACCTTAGAAGCCTGGCAGTGGGAAAGGAAAATAATAGCAGGTTGGCTAATCGGATTGCTTCAGACCCGTCAGGCCAAAGGATACCGGAGAATGTTTTTTCTCAGAAGTTTGGAAATGAAAGAAGGCAAGACAAGAAACAATGGGTGGAAACTAATCAAGGAGAGGTTCAATTAAGGAATTAAGGAGAAACTTCTTGACAGGGAGGACAATTAATCAGTGACAATTAATCAGAAGACAATGAATTAATCAGCTTGGCTCCAGAAGTTGTGAATACTTCATCACTGGAGGTTTTTAAAAAGAGACTGGACAGCCATTTATCTGGAATGATACAGGTTCTCCTGCTTGAGCAAGGGGCTGGACTAGAAGACCTCCAAGGTCCCTTCCCGCTCTATTCTTATCAGGAAGGAAGGAAGGAAGGAAGGAAGGAGGGAGGGAGGGAGGGAAGGAAGGAAGGAGGGAGGGAAGGAAGGAAGGAAGAAGAGAAGGAAGGAGGGAAGGAAGGAAGGAAGGAAAAAGGGAAGAGGAAGGGAGGGAAGGAAGGAAGGAAGGAAGGAGGGAAGGAAGGAAGGAAGACTGAGTCAACATTGAGCCAGTGAGAATTGAACTGCTGGTAGCCAGCAGTCGGCAGAAGTAGCCTGCAATAGTACAGTCTAACCACTGCGTCATCTTGGTAGTCCAGGTTTGAGATCTGAGGTCCACACAACAGGGTGAGCTCCCGTTCTTTGCTCCAGCTCCTGCCCACCTAGTAGTTCGAAAGCATGAAAATGCGACTAGATCAATAGGTACCACTTCAGTGGGAAAGTAACAGCATTCCGTGTGCCTTTAGCATATCGCCATACCAACCACATGACCGTAGCAAATGATGCTGGCTCCCTTGGCCAAGAATCAGAGACAAGCACCATGCCCCCTGGGGTCGGACACAACTGGAATGGAGAGATCTTTCATTATTATTATTATTATTATTATTATTATTATTATTATTATTATTATTATTATTATTATCATCATCATCAACTTTGGGTAGGCGCATACAATGCTTTTCCTCAGGTAGACTGTACAAAAATATGCTGAAAAGATTGAGATTCTTTGGACAGGCTGGTGGGCATTTTGCCCTCTTTACAATTAGTTCATCTTATTAGGAAAACGCTGTTTCACTTGGACATGCTCACATCTCTCGTTCCTGAGGGCGAGCCCGTAGAGAGGGGTCATGTTTACCTTCACCCCGTCAGGCACGCTGAACTGAAGGTCTTGGAGCAAAGTGGCCAAGAAAAGGAAGACTTCCTGTCGCGCGATGAGCTCTCCAATGCATCGCCGTTTCCCCAAACCGAAGAGCAGGATTTTCTCCCGTTCACCCACGTTGATTTCTTTCCCGTTGGCGGTGAGAAAACGCTCGGGAACAAAGGCAGAGGGGTCTTTCCAAAGATTCCTGCAAAGAGGGTGCACGGAATGAAGGGGGGAGGCCAGCACAGAGGTGGGTATTCAGCCGGTTCTGACCGGTTCTGCAGAACCGGTAGCAGAAATTTTGAGTAGTTCAGAGAACCGGCAAATCCCACGTCTGACTGGCCCTGCCAACCCCATCTCTTCTCTGCCTCCCATTGAGTCCCAACTGATCGGCTGGCTCTTCTTTGGTTGCCCTGCACAGGAGAACGGAGCTGGAAAGCAGGTTAGTGGGTGTGGGGAGGGAAGGAGGATTTTGCAGTATCCTTCCCCTGCCACGCCCACCAAGCCAAGCCACACCCACAGAATACCACGCCCACCAAGCCATGCCCATAGCTGGTTGGCTGGGTCTCCTTTGGTTGCCCTGCACAGGAGAACGGAGCTGGAAAGCAGGTTAGTGGGGTGGGGAGGGAAGGGGGACTTTGCAGTATCCTTCCCTTGCCACGCCCACCAAGCCACGCCCACAGAACTGGTAGTAAACAATTTTGAATCCCACCACTGGGCCAGTGGCTAAACAAACTGGGTTTCCTGGCTTGAGTTCACACATCACACCAAGCCTTAACACGGGATGCTTGGTTTGGGCTTAGCAAAAGCCGGAGAGAAGCCAGAGAGCTGTGTTGTAGCCAACAAACCATGGTTTTTAGCAAGCTGTGGTTCATCTCATAAGGAGACCTATTGGAGACCAATTTGTCCAATAAGGAGAAATTTCCTGACAGTGAAAACCATTAGCCGGTGGAACAGCTTCCCTCCAGAAGTCGCAGGTACTCTCCATCACTGGAGGTTTTCAAGAAGAAATTGGACAGCCCTTTGTCTGAAATGGGATAGAATCTCCTGCTTGAGCAAGGGGCTGGACTAGTCCAGGGGTCGCCAACTTTTTGGACCTCCGGGACCACCAAACTCATCATTTTAAATCAGAGACCCTGGGAAAATCCCTAAAAAAGTCGGCAGGAAAATCCCCCACCCCTTTTTTCCTACCGATCGATCGTTCTTTATTTGGGATCGCAGGATCCTGTCTCCAGCTCCATTCTTGGGGGGTGGGGGGAGGAAGGAAGGGAGGGAGAGACTTTTGGCTTCATGCAAGGAAAGCAGCAGAAGCAGCAGAAGTCTTTCTTTCTCTCCCCCCAAACTCCACCAGAAATGAGTCTTTGTGACACTTGTCATGCCGCAACAGCCTCTTGGAGCAGGAGGCCTTGCAGGGTCCCAAAGATTCATTTCTGGCGGAGTTTGGGGGAGAGAAAGAAAGACTTTGGCTGCTTTCCTTGCGTGCAGCCAAAAGCAGAAGAAGAAAGAAGCAGAAAGAAGCAGCCTGGTGGCCAGGCCAGGCGAGGAGGGGCGAGTGGGGCAAGTTCTCCCCCTCCACCGTCTCCCCCCTCCCCTCACTACCTCGTGTTGTTTGCAATGCAAGCGACACAAGCCTTGTGTTGCCACAGGCCATGTGGGCGACGCAGCCTTGTGTTCCTGTGCAGCCTGGATGAATTGCTTTTGGGGGGGGGGGGACATTTCTCTGCGGACCACCAAAATTTTCTCTGCGGACCACTGGTGGTCCCTGGCCCACCGGTTGGTGGCCATTGGACTAGATGCCCTCCGAGGTCCCTCCCAACGCTGTTATTTGGTTATTCCTGTTATTCCGTGAGAACTCACTACTTACTCATCGTGGTTGACTTGCCACTGGTTGATAAAGATGCAGAGGTCCTTAGGAATGAAGTAGCCCTTGAAAAGGGTATCTCTCGTGGTGCTGAAAAAGAAAACAAGAAGATATACCAGTAAATTTATTTTTCAAAGCCAACGAAGAGTCTGCCTGGCTGCGGGGGGGGGGGGGGGAGAGAAGATGGCTGCTGGGTTGTTTTCTTACAGATGTTTCACGGCCCAGCTAGATAACATCATCACTCCTGTAGAAGGGAGTGGGAGTTGCAGAGTGGAGAAGGAGGAGGACTGGAAGATCCTTGATGCTTTTGATACCCCCTGGGCTTGGTTGTTTCCTTGCAGACCTTTCATTACCACATTAAGTAATATCATCAGTGCTAGATGAAAGTAGGGTTTGCAGACTGAAGGAGGAGGAGACAGGAAGAGGAGAAGGACGGTGGGGTCCTGGATGGTCATTGAGCTTGGTTCTTTTCTTCCAAATGCTTCCTGACCCAACTAGGTAACAACATCAGTGGTACCAGTAGGAGGGAATGGGGTTTGTGGAGTGAAAGAGAAGGGAGTGGGAGGAGGATGGAAGGAGGAGGAGGAAGACTGGTGATCTCTGAGCTTGGTGGTTTTCTTGCAGACATTTCATGAGACAAACTAGGTAACAACATCAGTGCTAGACGGGAGAGGGATTTGGGAGGAGGAGGAGGAGGAGGAGGAGGAGGAGGACGACTGTGGGGTCCTTGGTGCTCTCTGAGCTTGGTGGTTTTCTTGTATAACTGTCAGCACCATCTATCAAAGCACTGATGATATAACCTAGTGGGGTAACGAAACGTCTGTGAGAAAACAGCCAGGTTTGGAGACCACCAAGGAGATACACACACACACACCCCTCTATGGCTCCAATCCTTTTCTTGTAGAGATGAGCTCAGGGATGATTTTTTTGGCCAGCCCCCACCCAGATCTGACCTATATTCACTGGGACCCATTCTGTTCAATTTTTTGGGAAGACAGGAATAAACCATCCTTGGTCTTCCTCCCTCTTTACACCCCCTCCCCCCCCCCCCCCCTCACCAACCTTCTGCTAGAAGGCTGAACCTTCTGCACCAAGTCACGAGTATCCATGAACGGTTGAGATTCACGGCTGACTTTGAGGGACCAGGACCAGGTTGGGGGGACTGGTTTGGGGGCTCCTCTATGTCTCTTTGGAATTGGGGACCTTACCAGTGGGGGAGGGCGAACGGCACGAAGGTAGAGTGCCTGAACACTTCCAGGATGAACGCTTCCGTGTAAGGGAGCAGGGATCGATCGGACAATCGTGGCTTCCGTTCTCTGCCGATGGTGACGTCTGGAAGGCAGGGAGGAAAGCTGGGGTAGGTGGGCTGCTGGTGGGGTTTGCAGGGGTTCGGAAGAGCCCCTAGCTAAGATTCTGCACACCCCCACATCCCACTCCTGCCCACCCCTCCCTTCCCAGAAGTCCCCAGGTGGCCCATTTTGGATGCAGGGAAGTGCAGGACCTGCATGGAGGCTCAAGGAGAGTGAAAAACGGAAGTTTGGGAAGGCTGGAAAATGGGCCCCGTTTCCAGCTTCCAGAAAGCCTCCGGAGCCCTGGGAGGCCGTTTTTGCCCTCCCGGAGGATCGAGAAAAGCCTCCACTGCCATGCAGGAGGCTGACTAGGCCACACCCACCCTAGCCACACCCATCCACCCTAGCCACGCCCACCCAGCTACCTTGTTGAAGCCCACCCCTGGAGGAAACATCAAAGGCCTCCTTTCTTCCCCGAGAAGACCTGATTCTCTAAGGCTGTAGAGGGCATAGGGAGTGACCTTGAAGGTTGGGATGAAGTGCCATTTGCTAAAGCAAGGATCAGATAAGAGGGGATTAAGCCTGGGCCAAGAGTCACAATTAGAGAAAACCTCCTAGATAAACCCACACACACACACAAAAAATGGTGTCTTAGCTTGGCCTACATTGTAGGGCTGACAGAAGTTGTGTGTATATATGACTTAAGGAGTAATGGGGTTGTTTTCAGGGGTGGGATTCTACCGGTTTGCACCGATTTGTTAGAACCGGGTGTTAACATTCTAAGCAGTTCGGAGAACCGGTTGTTAGAAGAAATTACTGGCCTAATCCTGTAAGGAAGGCAGGAAGGAAACGTTCTGGTGTTGCTGACAGAAACTGCCTCTCCGTTAACCCATATTATATTCTTGGCAGGACTTGTCTCTGGAACTTCTCTGGAGTTTTTTTCCCCTTCTTTGCTGGTACTTTGCTTGTGTGGAGGGACCATTCAAAGTTACACTGGCAGTGAAAAAAGTGACTTATGACCCTTTTTCACACTTACGACTGTTGCAGCATCCCCACAGTCATGAGAGGCCAGGCGAGGAGATATGCATGCCTTGATGTGAGTGATATTGAGTTGGCCACGCCCAGCCCATAACATGAGCGCCAAGCCACGCCCACCAACTAAGCCACGCCCACAGAACCGGTTGTTAAAAAATTTGAATCCCACCCCTGGTTGTTTTGGTTCCCCTTCAAAGACTGAGTGTAAATTTGCAAACCCAGGCTCTTTATTTTGTTCCATGAAGAGTCCACTGGAGTTGCGGGAATAATACATTCAAATAATAGCGCTTAGCGCTTAGACTTATATCCTGCTTCACAGTGCTTTACAACCCTCTCTAAATTGTTTAGAGAGTCAGCATATTTTACCCCCAACAATCTGGGTCCTCATTTGACCTACCTCGGAAGGATGGAAGGCTGAGTCAACCTTGATAAATAAAATAAATAAATAAATGCATAAGGGAAAAAAAAAATAACTGCTGGTTCCCCATCAGTTATTCTGGCAGAGAAGGAAAAGGACTCACCTATTTCTTCCTGGATCTTTTTTTGAATTTCGGGATAAGCGATGAGGTACATAAGACACCAGGACAAGCCGGTGGACACAGTGCTGAAACCTGTAAAAAAAAACAACACACGCACACACACACACACACACACACACAAAGAAGACATGGCAGGACTAAAATAACTCCATCTCGCCTTCTGACTTCCATGGGATCTCACCTGAATGGGCTTTTGCCAGATGCTTCCACAAATTCCTTTTCTCGGGGACAGGAGAGTGAAATTGCTCAAGGTCCATCTGACCCAGAACAAGGCAAGGAATGCTTGCAATTAAGGATTCTGCTGGATCACACTCAGAGGTGGGTATTCAGCCGGTTCTGACCGGTTCTAAAGAACCGGTAGCAGAAAATGTGAGTAGTTCGGAGAACCGGCAAATCCCACCTCTGACTGGCCCCGCCAACCCCATCTCTTCTCCACCTCCCATTGAGTCCCAGCTGATCGGCTGGGTCTCCTTTGGTTGCCCTACCCAGGAGAACGGAGCTGGAAAGCAGGTTAGTGGGGTGGGGAGGGAAGGGAAGGGGGATTTTGCGGTGTCCTTCCCCTGCCATGCCCACCAAGCCACACCCACCAAGCCACACCCACAGAACTGGTAGTAAAAGAAATCGAATTCCACCGCTATCTCATAATAACCATTCAGAAGCCAGGGAAAAAAAGAAGGGGCTGTGGGAATGGCCTTGGGAGACAGGAGGAAGAGCCGCAGATCGGATAAGTGGTATGTGAAAGGTATCTCAGCCCATAGAAGGAGACTCGGAGTAATAAGCATTTCAGAAGGGTCCTTCCTTAGTTTTCCAGAGAGGAAAAAGAAAGTGGAGGGAGGATAGATATACAGGTAATCCTTGACTTACGACCGACAATGAGCCCAACGTTCCTGTGGCTAAGAGAGATAGTTAAGTGAGTTTTTCTCCCCTTTTAGATCTTTCTTGCCACAGTTTTAAGCGAGTAACTGCAGCACATGGCTCTGGGACACCGCAACGGTCATAAATACGAATCAATTGCCAAGTGCCTGAATTTTGGTCATATGACCATGGGGATGTTGCAATGGTCATAAGTGTGAAAAACAGTCCTAAGTCATTTTTTTTCAGTAACTTAGGTTACTAAACGAACTGTTGTAAGTCAAGGAAGTACCTGTACTTCTCCACCAGGGTTCGCTTTTGACGCTTAGACCCTCAGGTGAAGACCTTACCTGCCCCAAAAATATCATTGACCAGGTTCACAATTTTTCCAGCGGGAAGCTGAATTTTCGCTTTGGTGTCTGCTTTCTGTTTTTGGCTTTCCTCGATCAGAGAATCGGTGATATCGCGGATGTGATCCTGAAAGAAAAAGATCCAGGAAAGTTGTGTTGACTTTACAATAATACCAGATAAGAGGCAACTTCAAGAACTGTCGGCCTATTTTTGGTAGGAAGTCCGGCTTGAGGGAAATGGAAGACAACAACCGTTTTCATAGAGTCCCACTGGTGTTCCACCAGATTTAGGCCATATTTTGTATTAGGAAAATAGCAAATAGCAAATAAGTTTCATGATAACGGTGTGTGTGTGTGTGTGTGAAGTTGTCAAATGCCAGAAATGTCAGAATTTGTAGACCTGGAAGAGTAAAAATATCAGGTTGTAGGAAGCCTCCAACCCGAAGAATGAAATATTTTGGGAAATATTAAAAAGGTAGGATAAAATATTTCCCCTAAATGAGAAATGGGGGAAAAAAATTAAGAGAGGTGCAAACCAGTCCCAGTTTCTCTGCCCGAAGCAGAAACTGAGGAGGCCAGCTTTTAGAAATGCAGATTTGGTAATCCGTTCAAAAAGAGCGAGCCAGACAGAGACAGACAGATAAGCAACAAAACAAAAGTTGACCGAATTAGCTCAGGCAAACACCTAGGATTTGCATTTTCCCTTATGCCTATAGAGCCAGACATGACCCTTACATGACCCCATAAGAATCCGGAAGGTATTAAAACCCACCCACTGACTCTCAACTCCATTTTGTCGGCTATCCCAATCACACGGGGTTGGTGGTTCTGCTTCATCACTAAGGGCAATTTTTTCTTTCCAATCAGCCTCCATCCTCCATTTTATTCCCAGGGCCTACCTCCCTGAAGCTCTCATAATGCTCTTCAACGTTCTTCCGCAGGAAGCGAGTAAACTGCCGGTTGTAGTTCTTAAACTTTTTCACTTGGCTGTTGGGAAGGTACTGAAGAACAGGGATGAAGGTGGCTAGACTTCCGGAGCCTGTGGATTCCACAAACTGTTCGCTGTTGATCACAATGTCGAGCAGTTCTTTGTCGTCGTAGTCGTAACGCCGGCCGAAACACATGGCCAAAACTACGTTGGCCACGGCAACCGTCAAGTACAGATAGGGGTCCAGACGGTTCTTTGCAAGCATGACCTCCTGGAGCTTCGCCATCAGATGATGGGCCTCCTCAGAGACGTGGTCTTCCAAGAGGCAGGTGGAGGAAGAGGTGACGCTGGGCGAAGAAGCGAAGGTTTTCAAGGCGTGCTGAGCCAACTTGCGACGGGCAACCCACACCGGTCCAGAATCCGTGCTGAAAGAGAGGCTCTGGCCATCGGCCACGTGGCGGAAGGTGAGAAGATCAGGGCGTCCCTTGAAGACTTCTCCATGTCTCACCAGGGCTTCCTTGATGGTCTCCAGCCCACTCAGCACCAAGATGGGCTTCGTCCCCAGGTGGATCATCATGACATCACCGTAGGTCTTGCTCATCTGAGTCAAGCTGAGGTGGACGTCGGTGCCCACCTCCAGCAGGTTGCCGATCAAGGGGTAGCCCCGTGGTCCAGGGATTCTTTTTAGGCCCCGGGGGATCTGTTTCCGGAAGGTCTGGAGGACAAGGAAGAGCAGGCAGAAAACAGCCAGGCCGATCAGGACCTCAGTAACCGAAACGGAGGCCGGGAGCCACATGGCAAAGCTGGATAAGGGCCGCCTTCAAAACTCTACTGAAATCAGAGGAGAGACAGGACGAGGCGGTAGAATTAGGAAGGCGAAATCAATAGAGGGAATCCTGGAGTTATGACCCTGGTTGGGCTCATTTAGACCATTGTTAAGCAAGGCAATTGTTAAGTGAGTCCTGCCCAATTTTATTGCTTTTTTTTTTTTTTGGCCACAGGTGTTAAGCGAATCACTGCAATTGTTCAAAAAATCACATGATTGTTCAACAAATCTGTCTTCCCTTGTTGACTTTACTTTTTCCTTCCTTCCTTCTTCCCTCCCACCCTTATTTCCTTCCTTTCTCCCTCCTTCCCTCCCTCCCTCATTTTTCCTTCCTTCCTCCCTCTCTCCCTCCCTCCATCTCTGTCCCTCATTTCCTTCCTTCCTTCCTTTCTTCCTTCCCTCCTTTCTTCCTTCCTCCCTCCCTCCTTCCCTCCCCCTCCCTCCCTCCTTCATGTTTCCTTCCTTCTTTCCTTCCATCCTTCTTCCCTCCCGCCCACCCTTGTTTCCTTCCTCCCTCCTTCCCTTCCTCCCTCATTTCCTTCCTTCCTTCATTTATTTCTTCCTTCCTCCCTCCCTCCTTCATATTTCTTCCTTCTTTCCTTCCATCTTTCTTCCCTCTCTCCCTCCCTTGTTTCCTTCCTCCCTCCCTCCCTCCACCTCCCTCCCTCATTTCCTTCCTTCCTTCCTCCCTCCACCTCCCTCCCTCCTGTTTCCTTCCACCCCCCCTCCCTCCTTCCCATAACAAATACCTGATAAAATTAGGAATAATAAGAACTAGGGATGAGGCCAACAAAGTCTACAAGTAAAAGTTCTCATCCAGATGTCTTTCGCTCTTTCTCTTATCATCTGCTGGATGCCTTATGCGAAGGTTTTTCTGCCCTCTCCTATCTGGGAAATGATTATTTAACCCACGAACCCAAGTCCAGCTGGAGGAAATCCAAGGAAAATATCCCATCCCGTGTCCCTGGTCTAAATAAATAATGTGCTTCTTGATTACCAAAGATCGTCCCAGACTTTGCTGGTAAGGAAGGAGGCTGGAGTTCTCTTTTGCGTTCAACCATTGTTTAAGCCTGGCTTATTTAATAACGTCCAGCTGGCTGGGTTTGCACAATACGTTAATCCGTAAGCCCTGATCCGGAGTCAAAAGCAAACAAATACATTTAATAAGTCAATAAATAAAACAAAACAAGGCCCAAGATGGTTCACAGTGCTTTGGGAACTTGTCAACTCTCCAAAAGATAGACCATACTAGAGTAACCAAATCACGCTAACTAATACTTATTTTTATTATGAGGTTATTATAGCAACAGAAGCTGGCATGTCTGAATGGCCTTCCCTTCTCCTTCTCTTTATCTTCGTGAGAATCGGGGGTAGGACCTCTTCTGAGATGCTTTCTCATATTACATTTCTGCTTTGGGCAGAGATTTGCTTTATTTGGAAGTGTGTGGGTAGCATCTTTTTCTCCTGTTCCTCAAGGCTCTTCCTTCTACCCATTACAGAACCAGGCCAGAGCTAGTGACCATTGATAAGGTATCTGATGACTTCTGTTTCCAAGCAGTGATCTTCTTCAAGGAAACTCAAAGAGAACTCTGCTAGTTTATCCGCTGAAATGGATAACTGTCTCTTCTTAAGGATTCTGGAGAATGAAAATAAATAGAATAAAATAGAATAGCATGGAATGGAATGGAATGGAATGGAATGGAATGGAATGGAATAGAATAGAATAGAATAGAATAGAATAGAATAGAATAGAATAGAATAGAATAGAATAGAATAGAATTAGAACAGAACAGAACAGAAAATAGAATAGAAATAGAAATAGAAATAGAATAGAATAGAATAGAATAGAATAGAATAGAATAGAACAGAACAGAACAGAATATAAAATATATAGAATAGAATAGAATAGAATAGAATAGAATTAGAACAGAACAGAA